CGGAAGAGCCCTGCTGGATCAGACCAGGGGTCCATCCAGTCCATCCTCCTGTCTCACACACAGTGGCCGACCGGTTCCTCTGGAGTGCCAACATCAGGGCATAGAGGCCGAGGCTGGGCCTCCTGATGGCCCCTGGTATTTCTGGCCCCTGTGTGACCCAGAGTGTTGGACTGGATGGGCCTTTGGCCTGATCCAACAGTGGCATCTGTTCTTATGTTCTTATATTACGAAGTGGGAAGTTCCCAGGTCAAGTCTCACCCCAGTCCCTCAGTCAGCAGATGGCCTTACGGCAAGCCCTCCCCCCTTTCGCTTTAGCTCTTCTTCCTCACTTCAGCAATACAGAGACAACACTGGCCTAGCTTGCCTGCCTGTTGTAAGGACTAAAGAAGAGACTGGATTTGTACCCCGCCCTTCACTACCCGAAGGAGTGTCAGAGCGGCTTACAAACGCCTTTTCCTTCCCCTCCCCACAACAGACACCCTGGCAGGTAGGTGGGGCGAGGAGAGCTCTCTCGAGAACTGCTCTGAAAGAACTGCTTGAGGGAACAGCGCTGAAAGAACTTGTGACTGACCCACGGTCACACCAGCAGCTGCGAGTGGAGGCGTGGGGAATCAAACCCGGTTCTCCCAGATTAGAGTCTGCGCTCCTCACCACGACACTAAAGTGGCCAGCCGGTTGCAACAGACTCACGGCAAACCTATGAATCTGGGGTGTTACAGGGAAGAGATGAGCACAGGCCGTTTGCCATTGCCGGCCTCCGCGTTGCAGCCCTGGACTTTCTGGGTGGTCTCCCATCTAAATACTGACCGTTGCCAACTCTACTTGGCTCCCAAGATCCGATTACTGGCAGATTATATATGAAGCACAGTGAAAATTCAACACGAGTTGTATTCCTGCTAAACGGCAGGGCTATTTTGGGGCAGGAACGCACAGGAACGGAGTTCCGGCTGGCTCCTGAGTTGGCCACGCCCAGCAGGAACTCGTTAGCATAATAGGCCACACCCAACAGCAGAAACTCATTAGGATTGGCTACATTAGGGGTGTGTGGCCTAACATGCAAAGGAGTTCCTGCTACCAAAAAAGGCCCTGGGTTTGGACAACAAACAAGGTAAACAGAATAAGAAGGGAAAGGTGGGTGTGGCTGGATGACCACACTTCTGGTAACATGGGGGCGTGGCCTAATATGCAAATCAGCTGCACTGTCAGGGGTGTGGCCTAATGTGCTAATGAGTTTCTGCTATTGGGTGTGGCCTGTTATGCTAATGAGTTCCTGCTGGGCTTTTTCTACCGAGAGAGCCCTGCTAAACGCAATTATGAATGGTTCCCCCCCCCCCTGCAAACGGATGAGTCACCCTGACCTGTACGGCCCAGGCTAGTTCAACCTCATCAGATCTCTGAAGCTAAGCAGGGCCGACCCTGGTTAGTACTTGGGAGGGAGACCACCAAGAAAAGAGATCGGATTTATACCCCGCCCTTCACTATCCAAAGGAGTCTCAGAGCGGCTTACAAACTCCTTTCCCTCCCCCTCCCCACCCACAACAGACACCCTGTGAGGTAGGTGGGGCTGAGAGAGCTCTGCCAGAAACTGCTCTTTTTCAAGGACGGCTCAGAGAGAACTATGGCTTGCCCAAGGTCATCCAGCAGGTGCGAGTGGAGGCGTGGGGAATCAAACCCGGTTCTCCCAGATCAGATTCCGTGCACTTAACCTACTACACCAAACTGGCTCACCAAGGAGATCCATGGTTGCTATGCAGAGGCAGACCAATGGCAAACTACCTCTGTTTGTCCACCCCAATCTGGATGGCCTAGGAAGGAAGCCTAGGGTTGCTATGCAGAGGCAGACAGTGGCAAAGCACCACTGTTGGTCTGACCTGACCTGGACGGCCCAGGCATTCCCAATCAGATCTCAAAAGCGAAGCAGGCTCAGTCCTGGTTAGCACTTGGACCAAGGAAGCCTGTGGTTGCTACGCAGAGGCAGACGATGGCAAAGCAACCTCTGTGTATATTTTGCTTTGACCTGGATGGCCCAAGCTAGCCTGAACTCCGAAGCGAAGCATGGCTGACCCTGGTTAGTGTACTTGGAGGGGAGACCACCAAGGAAGCCCGTGGTTGCTACGCAGAGGCAGACGATGGCAAAGCAACCTCTGTGTGTCTTTTGCTTTGACCTGGATGGCTCAGGCTAGCCTATTGAGGTAGCTAATCCGGAGCAGTCCCAGTTAGTACTTGGGTGGGAGACCACCAAGGAAGCCCAGGGTTGCTACGCAGAGGCAGGCAACGGCAAACCACCTCGTCTCTTGCCTTGAAACCCTGACAGGGTTGCTACAAGTTGCCTGTGACGGTGCCAAAGAAGTAAACCTTGTAAATTGGGATTAAGATTTCCCTTCAGTTATTCATTACTTTTTGAAATGGTAGAATTAATTCTTCTTCTAGACATTTACAATACATCCCCGACAAACCATCTGGACCCAGAGCCTTGTCTTTTATCAGTCTCTTTATTGCTTACGAGAGCTCTTCTTGTATTGTTATATTTTGGTTCAAAATATCGCTGTCTTCTTTCATGAATTTTTGGTTACGGAGGTATCTTTTATATATTCATCTAGCCCACCTTCTGTCGCATTTTCTTTCTTATACAGCTGCGAGGAAAAAAGAGATAACCTATTTTTCTTTACAATGGTCTAGATAGGGAATAGTGATAATTTATAATGTGAGAATAATAGGAAATGAAATGTGTGAAGTAGAATGAAATGCGTGAAGTGTCATTACCTTGATTATCATGTATTCCCTTACTAATGTATGCCTTGATAGTCGTGAAAAGTGCCAGGGTTTTTTTTGCTTGTTTCTCCTTTTTTCTCCCTCTTCCCTTTCTCTACCCCTATAAAAATGTAAAAACAAAAGTCAACCCCCCCAATAAACCCTGTAAGTTGATCGTGCAGCATCAATGAACAGAATCATAGGAACTTTTCTCATGTTGTGAACTTTGATTTGCATTCTCAGGAATGTTTCATCTATCTATCTATCTATCTATCTATCTATCTATCTATCTATCTATCTATCTATCTATCTATCTATCTATCATCTATCCATCCATCCATCCATCCATCCAAATGGGCACACAAGGCAGCTTACATCATTCTCCTCCCCTACATTTTATCCTCACAACAATCTTGCAAGGTAGGTTAGGCTAAGAAAGTGGAACTGGCTCACAGTCACCCAAGTGAATGAGATTCCATGGCAGGAGTGAGGATTCAAACCTATTTATTTTCTAAACTCCTCAGAGATGGAACACTCAGCACCGTATCCTTTAACTGGAAATGCTGCCTTGAGACGATTTCTTAAAAAGAGGCCCACGCTAGCAAAACAACCCCTCCTCAACCCAACAGTCTACTATTTCCTGGCATTTTCCCTCAGCTTTGGGCGGCGGGGGCGGGGGAATCTCTGTGGCATCCAAGGAGGAGGAACCACTACAGGATAAATAAAAAACCTTCAGGTTACAAATCATGTTTTTAATAACGCAAACCCACAATGTACAAAACCAAGTCAAGATCATAACCAATGAAAATACAATTCAAACTGCATAGATAAAAGGTTCAAAATCCAAAAGGCTGTGGAAAGAAAGCACATTAGAAGAGCCCTGCTGGATCAGGTCTCACACAGGAGCCAACCAGTTCCTCTGGACGGCCAGCAGCAGGGCAGAGGCTCCGAGGCCTTCATAAGAACATCAGAAGAGCCCTGCTGGATCAGACCAGTGAGGGTCCATCTAGTCCAGCCTCCCGTCTCACACAGGGGCCAGCCAGTTCCTCTGGAGGGCCAACAACAGTGTTCCCTCTAAGCTGAGTTAGTGTGAGCTAGCTCACAGTTTCTTAGCCTCCGGCTCATACATTTTTGTCCTAGCTCAGGAAGGATGTGTCCAACAGGGCAGAGAGGCCGAGGCCTTCATAAGAACATCAGAAGAGCCCTGCTGGACCAGACCGGTGAGGGTCCATCTAGCCCAGCATCCTCTCTCACACGGTGGCCAGCCATTTTCTATGGAGGGCCAACCTCTGGGCATAGAGGCCGAGGCCTTCATAAGAACATCAGAAGAGCCCTGCTGGATCAGACCAGGGGTCCATCTAGTCCAGCATCCTCTCTCACACAGTGGCCAACCAGTTCCTCTGGAGGGCCGACAACAGGGCAGAGAGGCCGAGACCTTCCCCTGACATTAACTCCTGCTACTGGGATTCAGAGGATTAGTGCCTCTGAATGTGGAGGTTCTCCTCAGTCCCCATGGCTAATACCCATCGATAGACTTATCCTTCATGAATCTTATCTAATCCCCTTTTAAAGCTGTTTGTTCCTATGGCCATCACTACATCCTCTGGCAGCGAATTCCCCATTCCACCTGAATCGTGGGGGGCTAGTCCCGATGGCTCTGTTCTGCTTGAGGCAGCTTCCTCTGGCTTTTTGTGACCGGGGGGTGGGTGGGGAGGCACTGTTTGCCATTCACAGTACGGATCCATGAAATCCAGCCCAGGAACTTAGCGGCTATCTAGGGTCAGCTGAGCCATTTCAAGAGGACTCTATCCAGATGCGGGTTTTGCCTTGAATCACGCAAGAGCATATCTGGATATCCCTTTGAAACCCATGACCCAGAGGTGAGGGAAACCAGGCAGAGGGTTGCCAATCTCCAGGTGGGGCCTGGAGATCTCCCAGAATTACAACCGGTTGAACCGATCTCCAGACGACTCGGATCCGCTCCACTGGAGAAAAGGGTCGGCTTTGGAAGGTGGGCTCGAGGGTATCACGTGTCCGCTGAGTCTCTTCCCCTTCCCAAAATCTCCAGGGATTTCCCAACCTGGAGTTGGCAGCCCTGCATCCCATGACTCTGCACTGCTCTTTTCCGGCTTGGTTTGCTGCTATTCTCATGGCCGCTTTTAATTTTTGGGTGCTCACCCCATCCAGTTCTGCAGTTACACATCTAATTGACTGATCGCAAAGAAAGAGACCCGAATCCCTCTACCAACAACAACAACAACAACAAGAAGAATTATATCCCTGCAGCATAGAAACCCCACTCTCTATAGCAAGCCCATTCTAGGCCACAGAAGGCTCCAAATCTGCTTTCTTCAGCCAGGTTTGAAACCGGAAGGCTCATCTGCATGACAAATGCCCCTTGTATTCACAGTTCATTGACAAAGGCTCAAAGGATTGTGAAGATTCTCTACGGATTGGGGGGGATCAAGAGTTTCAGAAAGTTTTTAAAAAAAAAAAAAAAGTCTGGAAAAGCCCTGAGAAAGTGAAATCGTCTGTGGGAATAAAGACTGAACGACCAGTCTCCTTCTAAGTTGGTTCCGGGTTCCCTCTAGTGGCGCAAACCAGAAATGAACTTGATCCCAAAGGGACCTTTCTGCATATTTGTGCATGTTAGGCGTCCTGAGGTTACTTTTGACTTTTGGTGGCCCTGTGAATGAATGTTCTTCTAAACATCCTATTGTTGGCAATCTTGCTCAGGTCTCGCAAACTGAGGGCCACGAATCCATCCATCTTCATGTTGAGTCTTCCTCTTTTCCGACAGAGGGAAACCCTCAAACAAGGATGATGAAGAAGAGGAGATTGGATTTATACCCCGCCCTTCACTCGGAGTCTCAGAGCGGTTTACAAACTCCTTCCCCTTCCCCCAATAGATACCCGGTGAGGTCGGTGGCGCTGAGAGAGCTCTGACAGAAACGGCTCTTTTTCCAGGACAGCTTTCTCAGAACTACGGCTTGCCCAAGGTCATCCAGCAGGTGCAAGTGGAGGAGTGGGGAATCGAACCCAGTTCTCCCAGATTAGAGTCCGCGCACTTAACCACTACACCAAAGTGGCTCTCAGGCCCCTGGTCCATCCAGGTCAGTCTTGTCTACTCAGACAGGCAGTGGCTCTCCAGGGTCTCCGGCAGCGAGTTCCCACATGTCCCCTGGAAACAGTCTGATACTCAATCAGATCTTTGATGGCTCTCTGAGATCTTCCCCAGAACACTAGCTACTCCAGATCCTTTAACCCAAGACAGCCAGGATTCAACATGGGACCTTCTCCCTGCAAAGAAGACGCTCTAGATCGGAGGACCACATCCGCTGTGGTTTGCAAAAACTAACCCTAACCCGGACACTCTGTTCACTTAAAATATTTCCCTGTTGCTTTTCTACCAAAAAATGGTGTGTGTGTGTGTTTAAAGAGCACTTCTCCTGCCAACCTCGCAGTTCGCAAGCAAGGAATTGCAAGTAGATCAATAGGTATCACTTCGGTGGGAAGGTCACAGTGTTTCTGCGCGCCTCGGCGTTTAGGCATGCTGGCCACACGACCACAGAAATGTCTTCAGACAGCGCTGGCTCTTCGGCTTGGAAGCGGAGACGAGCACCGTCTCAGAGTCGGTTCCCACTGGCTTTTGAGCCGTGGGAAACCTTTAGTTTACCTTTAAAGAGCATCCGAGGTGGCTCAATTAGATTTTTACAAACGGTCAGTGCACACTTTCCCAAAACCACTTGTCAGTCGCAACCGAAGGGCCAAAATTCAGATGGGATAGGTGTCCAATGAACACACCCTCGATCTCAAAGTCGGCGGCTACTGAGAACGGCGAAGGCTTCTCTTCCAGAGGAGATGTCTCGTCGACAGCCGCTGTGCCCCCCCCCACTGTCGCCCTCATTCAAAAGTCAAGGAGGACAACGCTGTTTCAGAATCTGGACAATACTCTCAGGAACGTCCGGACGGCAGGACTCGGAATCCGGCAGCGAGCCCGGCCCAAGCCGTTGGGCGTGTTGGAAGAGATCACGGGCGAACACCGGTTCGACCTGGGGAGGAACAGTTGGCACGTCATCGCAAGGCTGGTATATGGGATCAGTGCAAACAGATCTTTTCTAGCCAAACGACGGGGCCTGATGCTGCATGATTATCTCATGAACAGCTCCTGCTTCTTCTATATATACAAATCCCACTAGTAGAAAACGAAGCGAATCGTAGGTTCTTCTTACACTGTGAACCTTGTGGTCTGTTGAAACTGCTGAAATCAGGTTCCACTTACACAGCCGGCAAACGGAAGAAGTCGAAGGAAACGCATCTTCCAAGTATCTAGAACGGGTGTCTTTGCAAAGGCTGTTTGGAAAATGTTATGACTATGTGTCACACTGACACCATGAGCTTTATGTCTTATCTCCAAAGGAGGAAATATTGTCTTATGCCTTATTATAGTTACAGTATGCACTAATGTTGTCGCGACACCACCAACTTTATAATTGTTTAATATATTGTTTTGCAATCTTTGATGGTGTTTTCTACTAGTGGAATTTGTACATTTGGGAACTCCTGTGACACTAGACTTTTCCCCTGGCTTCTTCTATAGCATCCTGTGCCTCTGGAGCCATCCATGTTTCCCAGGAGCTACAACCCTGCCCAGAAAGCAGAAGACACGACATATGACGCTACCTTCTACTGAACCAGACCGTTCAGCCATCACAGCCGGTATTGCCTACTCAGATCGGCAGCTGCTCGCCAGGGTCTCAGGCAGAAATCTTTCACATCACCTACCCTCTCATCTCTATTTTACTGGAGATGCCGGGGATTGAACCTGGGACCTTCTGCATCCCACGCAGAGGCTCTTCCACTGAGCCACGCCCCCCTCCTGTTAGAGGTGAAAGCACGGCCCGAAGCTGCTTCCAAACCAGTTCTTTTAATCATGCATTAACTCAGTTTTTACAAATTTATTTTGTTACTTCATTTACACCCCACCTTTGCCCCCAATGTGGGCCCAAAGCAGTTTACATCATTTCGCCCTCTTCCATTTTATCCTTACAACAACAACCCTGTCAGGTAGGTTAGCCTGAGAAGGTGGGACTGGCCCAAGGTCACCCAGCAAGCTTCCATGTCAGAAGTGGAGATTCGAACCTGGGTCTAACAGATACTAGTCCAACAGTCTAACCACTGGCTCTTGAAGGATCTGAATGCCACTGTCATCGAACTGCATTTCTGTAATTCCCATTATCCTCCTGTCTTTTTGATGATCTGTTTATTAAAAACTTTTTTAAAAAAATGCAGCTGTAGTACGAGCCCATTCAGCCTGAACTAGCAAACTGAAGGGTTTTCTTCGCAATCTTGTTTTCCTTGCTTGTGTATTTCTGTTGTGTTGGGGTTTTTTTTTCCTGTTCTGCATGTGTTTTGCTGTCTCTCAGTTTGATATTACATCACTTTATGTCCAGCATATATCCCTGCAGATCTAAACTGCAGGTTTTTATGCCAGACACACATCAATGCAATATCGAATTGTTCACTAGAGGGACCCCCTCCCCAAGCAACAGGAACACACAAGCAAGGAAATTTAGAATGTGGAAAAGCCCAAGATCTCGGGGGCAAGTGTTCCCTGTATTTTTTGCTTCTTTTGCAGCTGGGCCTTAGTTATTAATTATCATTCTGGTTTTCACTTTGCAGCCATAACCAATGCCCATTATTTTTCCTTTTTTGGTAATCACTGCAATTCTGATCATGAAATCGGTACCTTTGAAAAGAAAAATAATAATGAGCAATTACCTCAGCTGCAAAGAGAAAAGTCATGATTAACTATGCCCATCAAGGTTAATTAAGAAAAGTCATGGCAGACCTCTGTAAGTTGCTGGTATTCCCTTCCTACCTTTAATTTCAATGTTTACTTTTTGTTTTCATTGTACAAGCACTATTCTGAGGGCAGTGTTTAGTCTGATTTACCTTTAAGATACTACAGTGCACAGTATGATTCTTATTTTACAGATGTTGTATCTCTGTGTCCCTTATGTTTATCTGTTGATAGTTAACGTGCTGTATTAGGCGTTATATTGTAACCTAATGCCTCTATGTTTTCGTTTAGTTATGCTGCTGTCATTTATATATGTACTTTAATAATATTATAATAAAACTTTGAAAATTAAAAACAAAAGAAGAGAAGAAGAAGAGATTGGATTTATACCCCGCCCTTTACTACCCAACGGAGTCTCAGAGCGGCTTACAAACTCCTTTCCCTTCCCCTCCACACAACAGACACCCTGTGAGGTTAGATGGGGCTGAGAGAGCTCTTTTGAGAATTGCCCTTGAGAGAACAGCTCTGAGACAACTTGTGACTAATCCAAGGTCATCCAGCAGGTGCAAGCGGAGGAGCGGGGAATCAAAGTCATGACTACTTTGAGGAAACTAATTAAGTGAGCAGATGTAGGAGATTCCCCCCATGCTAATCAGCAGCACTGTTCCCTCTAAGCTGAGTTAGTGTGAGCTAGCTCACAGTTTTTTAGCCTCTGGCTCACACATTTTTGTCTTAGCTCAGGAAGGACGGCTCCAGAGCAAACTAATTGATGCAGTAGCCAAATCGCTTGCTCACAATTTTAATGCCAGTAGCTCACAAAGTAGAAGTTTTGCTCATAAGACTCCACAGTTTAAAGGGAACATTGATCAGCAGTGCATTTTTCTTTCCTTTCCCCCACAGGAAGTCAAACTGGCATGTGTTTGGGCCCTCCCTACTTTGCAAGGGGCTTGGTAAGATTTGGGAACGGGGCGAGGGGCAATCCTGTTGTCCTGCATGCCTCCTGCAGCCCAAATCAGCAACAGTGTACTCCTCCATTGCCAGGATACACTCACCTGGGCCATGATGAACTTGTGGAGTTTCTGACCAGGGGCAGCAGGATACTCCTCTCCAAAACAGAGGTGGATCTGGTACTGGGGGGGCGGCTCTCCATGGCACAGGTAGCCTCGTAACTCTGAGTGGCAGAAGAGATTCCAGCAATGAGCCACAGATCTCTGGACACGGTGGGGAGTGTGAGCAGAATCACAGAACAGAATCATAGAATGTTAAGAGTTGGAAGGGACCTTGCAGGTCCAACCCCCTGCACTCTGCAGGACCGTAGCCGAAAGAGAGCCCTACAGCATACCCGAAAGATGGTCGTCCAGCATCCGCTTGAAAATGTCCAGCGAAGGAGCATCCACCACCTCCCGAGGCAGTCTGTGTTTCACTGCTCAACCACTCTTACAGTTAGGAAGTCTCTCCTGATATTTAGCCGGTATCGACTCCCTTGTAATTCCCACCCATTAGATCTAGTCTTGCAATCCGGAGCAAGAGAGAATAGATCTGCTCCATCTTCTACATGACAGCCCTTCAGATACTTGAAGCCTGCAGTCATGTCCCCTCTAAGCCTCCTCTTTCCCAGGCTAAACATCCCCAACTCTTTCAGCCTTTCCTCGTAAGACTTGGATTCCAACCCTCTCACCATCCTGGTTGCCCTCTTCTGGACACGCTCGGGCTTGTCAACGCCCTTCCTAAAATGTGGTGCCCAGAACTGGATGCAGAGAGGTCAGGGTGCTTTGCATGCTCTCCCTCGAATGGAAAGGAAAGCCGGCTGGGCAGGACTGTAGCCAAAAGGGCCCAGCATATCCCGGGGGGGGGGGGGCACAGACCGTGGGGAGGAATGACAGTCACTTTTGGGGGAACTGCATGGATTGATGCCTGTGAGCCCAACACGTGAACCTGCCATATACTGAATCAAAAATCAGTCCATCTGGGTCAGTACTGTCTATTTAGACTGGAAGGGGCTCTGCAGGGTCTTGGGTGAAGGTCTTTCACACCACCTCCAGCCAGATTCCTTTAATTAGACACATCAGGGATTGAACCTGGGATCTTCTGCAAGCCAAGCAGAAGCTCTACCACTGAGCCACTGCGCCCTCTAGTGTCTACTGGTGTGACGTGAGAAATAATGACAGAGAAGAGAATCTCCAGGAGTGTGCAGAGTGCATCTCTGAAAATTCAAATTTTGGTAAGCCACCAAGCGTACAGTCATGCTTATAGAAAGCAGATCATCCGGTACTTGCCATTTCCCTGAGCAACGCTCAGTTTGGTGTCGTGGTCAAGTGCACGGACTCTAATCTGGGAGGACTGGGTTTGATTCCCCACTCCTCCACTTGCACCTGCTGATGTGACCTTGGGTCAGTCACAAGCTCTGGCACAGCTGTCCTTGAAAAAGAGCAGTTTGTGTCAGAGTTCTCTCAGCCCCACCCACCCCACAGGGTGCCTGTTGTGGGGAGGGGAAGGGAAAGGAGTTTGTAAGCCGCTCTGAGACTCCAAGTGAAGGGCGGGGTATAAATCCACTTGAAAAAGAGCAGTTTCTGTCAGAGCTCTCTCAGCCCCACCTACCTCCCAGGGTGTCTGTTGTGGGGAGGGGAAGGGAAAGGAGTTTGTAAGCCGCTCTGAGACTCCTTCGTGTAGTGAAGAGCGGGGTATAAATCCAATCTCTTCTCTTCTCGAATGCGCTTCCCTCTCTTGCAAAACCTAGACATTTACAGGTGCTTTCCAGCGATAAGCCTCTAGTCCAAACATGCTGAACATAAGGCCCAGGGGCCAGAACCAGTCCGTCCTGAGCTCTTATCTGGCCCGCAAGCAACTGGGGGGAAACCAGTCCAAATGTGGACCAGAAGGGCCTATATTTGGCTTTATACCCCCTGCTGAGGTCCGCAAACACAGGCCCTCCCCTGGGTCCTCCCCCAGATCTCCAGGGACTGCCCAACCCAGAGTTGGCAACCATAAGGGGTGAAAAGGGCTGGTTTGGCACTGAGCTCTGCTGAGGAGGGGCGTGGGTGACGGTCAGTGGTAAAATATCTCCGGTGCCTGGCATCACGTTTTATGGCAAAGGGACATTTATGTCAGATCCAGCCCTCGTGACAACTGAGTTCGACACCCCAGCTCTAGTCCTTTTCCCTCTCATGAAGGAGGGGAGGAGATGGGATTCATACCCCGCCCTTCACCACTCGAAGGAGTCTTTGAACGGCTTACCATCTCCTTTGCCTTTCCGCATCCCACAACAGACACCCTGTGAGGCAGGTGGGGCCGAGAGAGCTCTTTCGAGGACTGCCCTTGAGAGAGCAGCTCTGAGAGAACTTGTGACAGACCCAAGGTCACACCAACAGCTGCATGTGGAGGCGTGGGGAATCAAACCCAGTTCTCCCAGTTATACCCTGCCCTTCACTACCCAAAGGAGTCTCAGAGCGGCTTCCAATCTCCTTTCCCTTCCCCTCCCCACAACAGACACCCTGTGAGGTAGATGCGGCTAAGAGAGCTCTTTCAAGGACTGCCCTTGAGAGAACAGCTCTGAGAGAACTTGTGACAGACCCAAGGTCACACCAGCAGCTGCATGTGGAGGCGTGGGAAATCAAACCCAGTTCTCCCAGTTATACCTTGCCCTTCACTACCCGAAGGAGTCTCAGAGCGGCTTGCAATCTCCTTTCCCTTCCCCTCCCCACAACAGACACCCTGTGAGGTAGATGCGGCTAAGAGAGCTCTTTCGAGGACTGCCCTTGAGAGAACAGCTCTGAGAGAACTTGTGACTGACCCAAGGTCACACCAGCAGCTGCACGTGGGGGCGAAGTGGGGAATCAAACCCAGTTCTCCCAGATTAGAGTCCGCGCTCCTAACCGCTACACCAAACTGGCTCTCATCAAAAGCACTGCTCCAGAAAGTGGGATGCAGGATACTCTGGGTAAGCAAGAGTCTGTATCATCTATACATAAAACTTCAGCCCTGTCCAGTGCCTCGGAGGAAAGCGGCCAAATTCTCCAGCTGGGACACTCTCCAGGGTCGGAGGCAGAGGTCTTTCCCATCAGCTGCGGCCTGGTCCTTTTTAACTGGAGATGCCGGGGATTGAACCGGGGACCTTCTGCAAGCAAAGCACTGGGCCACAGCCCCTCCTCCGGGGATCCCACGCAACACGGAAGAATCAACCCTGAAAACCCTTTTCAGGGCCCCCTCTCTGCCCCCAGCTTCAGTGCCACACCTTTCTGAGGTTGGCCACCCAACTCCCGCACACTTTCAAAGCCCGTCTCGGGAGTCTTCAGAGCTGGCCCCCACTGTCTGGGCTTCTGCTGGCCTCGAGCCAAACCAGAGATGACACCATGAGAGGTACAAAGTCACACCTTCTATTCCAGGAAGCCACCTCAGAACACTCAAATATACAAATCCCCAGGGGTCATTTCCTGCAGGAGCGCACAAGAGCGGAGCTCCGGCAGTAAAGAGCCCAGGGGGCGGGCACAGGCAACAAGCCCCACCCCCTGCTCCCAGCAGCTCTCAGCCAGAGCAAGAAGCAACCAGGTAGGTTGCAGAGCTCCCCCTCCGGCCCAAAACAGTCCAGTGGCACCTTTAAGACGAGGTTTTATTCAGGTACACGCTCCCCCTCCTCTGTGAGGACAGATCTGCATGTGTTCCCCCCCCCCCAATAGCTAGCAATCCAAAACAGTCCAGTGGCACCTTTAAGACCAGGTTTTATTCAGGTCCCAGCTCTCCCTCCTCTGTGAGGACAGTGCGCAGGTTCCCCCCCCCCAAATAGCCAGCAATCCAAAACAGTCCAGTGGTGCCTCCTGACACACGTCTGGTGATGTCAGGGTGTGGCATATGCAAATAAGTTATGCTAATGAGCTCCTGCACCTCTTTTTCTACGAAATGACCCCTGCAAATCCCACTAGTAGAAAACACCATCAAAGATTGCCAAAACAATATATTAAACAATTATAAAGTTAGTGGTGGTCAAAACAACAACATTAATGCATACTGTGACTATAATAAGGCATAAGATACTGATATTTCCTCCTTTGGAGATAAAACAAGTCCATGTAGTCAGTGTTATGTTCCCAGTAGTCATGTATGGCTGCGAGAGTTGGACTATAAGGATGGCTGAGCGCCGAAGAATATATTCTTTCGAATTGTGGTGCTGGAGAAGACTCTTGAGAGTCCCTTGGACTGCAAGGCGATCAAATCAGTCAGTCCTAAAAGAAATCAACCCTGACTGTTTCCTGGAAGGCCAGATAATGAAACTGAAGCTCAAAGACTTTGGCCACCCAATGAGAAGGGAGCACTCCCTGGAGAAGACCCTGATGCTGGTCAAAGAAGACGGGGACGGCAAAGGATGAGATGGTTAGACAGTGTCATAGATGCAACGAACATGAAATTGAGCCAACTTCAGAGGACGGCGGAAGACAGGAAGGCCTGGCGTGATCTGGTCCATGGGGTCGCGAAGAGTCGGACTCGACTGTGCGACTGAACAACAAAGTCAGTGTTAACTTGATAGGAGGAGTCCACATAGTCATAACCAGGGGTCATTTCATAGAAAAAGAGGTGCAGGAGCTCATTAGCATAACTCATTAGCATATGCCACGCCCCCTGACATCACCAGAAGTGTGTCAGAAGGCAACACCCACCGCTCAGGCTCCACTGGACTGTTTTGGATTGCTAGTTATTGGGGGGGGGGAACGTGCAGATCTGTCCTCGCAGAAGAGGGAGAGCTTGTACCTAAATAAAACCTGGTCTTAAAGGTGCCACTGGACTGTTTTAGTTTGCTAGCTATGGGGGAGATGCGCAGATCTGTCCTCACAGAGGAGGGAGAGCTTGTACCTGAAGGGGGCGGGGGGGGGGGGCTCTGCAACTTACCTGGCTGCTTTTTGCTCCTTGTGGCCCGACTGAGGGCTGCTGGGAGCATGGGGTGAGGCTTGTTGCATGTGCCCGCCCCCTGGGCGCCTTACTGCCGGAGCTCCATTCCTGTGCGCTCCCGCAGGAAATGACCCCAGGTCATAACATTTTCCAAACAGCCTTTGCAAAGACGCCCGTTCTAGATACTTGGAAGATGCCTAGCTGCATGGTCTACCTTAATGACGTGCCTCTTGGGAACCACAGATGGTTGTCCGTTGTCCTCCTTTATGGGGTGTGATCCAAGCACTTTTTCTGCTGGTTAGAAAAGGAGGAGGGGGGCACCCTTGGACCACTCATAAAGTCTATAAAAGGTAAAGGTAAAGGTTCCCTTGCTCGAAAGCCAGTCGAGTCCAACTCTAGGGTTGCGGTGCTCATCTCCGTTTCCGAGCTGAAGAGCCAGCACTGTCCGAAGACGTTTCCGTGGTCATGTGGCCGACATGACTAAACACCAAGGTGCACGGAACGCTGTTCCCTTCCCACTGACGGGGTACCTATTTATCTACTTGCAATGTCTTGCTTTCGAAGTGCTAGGTTGGCAGGAGCTGGAACTAGAGACAGGAGCTCACTCCATCATGCGGCAACTCGGGTCTCGAACTGCTGAACTACCGACCTTCCACAGCCCGCAGTTCAGCGTCTTAACCACTTGAGCCACCGCAGCATAAAGTCTATACTAGGGGATTCATAGGACCTGCGGGGACAAAAGCCATGTGAGATGGGGTTGTAGTTAGAAGATTCGCTTCTTACACTGTGAACTTTGTGGTCTGTTCCAACTGCTGAAATCAGGTTCCACTTCCACAGCCGGCAACCTGAAGAAGTTGAAGGAAACGCATCTTCCAAGTATCTAGAACGGGCATCTTTGCAGAGGCTGTTTGGAAAATGTTATCACTATGTGGACCCCTCCCATCAAGTTACACTGACTAAATGGACTTTATGTCTTCTCTCCAAAGGAGGAAATATTGTATCTTATGGCTTATTATAGTTAACAGTATGCATTAATGTTGTTGCGACACCACCAACTTTATAATTGTTCAATATATTGTTTTGGAAATCTTTGATGGTGTTTTCTACTAGTGGGATTTGTATATTTGGGAACTCCTGTGACACCGGTCTTCTTCCCTTGTTTGGATCTCAGAAAATTCAGCAGGGAGATGCTTAGGTCAGAACCACACGTGGAGAGGGAAATGTGGCGCTTTCTGACCCGATATGAGCAATGAGTAATATAGATACGGGGAGAAAGAATGGAAAGAGGACGACGCTAAACCCTTCCCCCTACCCGCCTAGTCCCCCACCCAGAAACAAACGCCATTCCATGCATGTTGCAAGGCCTCCAGTGTTCCCTCTAAGCTCCGCAGTCTTGTGAGCAGAAATCCCACCTTGTGGGCTAAAAAAGCTAGTAGCGTTAAAGCTGTGAGCCAGTCTACACTTGACTATTGCATAAATTATTTTTAGGAAGATTATTTCCATAACCTCATAAAGATCTCCGAATGAATTCTTTTGAACTATGTTTAAAGAATGATTTAAACATTATAAGAGAAAACAGAATCAAGTCAAATGCCATTACACCAAATGCCCTCTATAAGGGTAGACCTAGCCTCTGGAGAACAGGTCTACCCACACCAGTCCACTATATAGGTAGACCTGGCCTCTGGAGAACAGGTTACCCACCCCAGTCCACTATAGTAGGTACACCTTGCCTCTGGAGATCAGGTCTACCCACACCAGTCCACTAAATAGGTAAACCTGGCCTCTGGAGAACAGGTCTACCCACACCAGGCCACTATATAGGTAGACCTGGCCTCTGGAGAACAGGTCAACCCGCCCCTTTCCACTGTATTGGTAGACCTGGGCTTGGACTGTCACCCTGTGCTGACCCTTAGAAAGCATACCAGCACTTTGGGAGGCGGAGGAGACTCTTGAAGTCAGATTTTTTTTCTTTTGGTAAAAAATGGCAACCAGCATTACAGGCCAAGTATAACAGAGGCGAAACAATCACTGTCGGAACCCCACCTAACCTAACAAACAGGGAGTTGCTCAAATGTTATCAACCAGCCCAAAGATATCCCACTTTTCCCTGTGACTCAAGGCAGCTTACAAATCATACTGAAAAGCATAATAGGGATGTGCAAAAAATCAGTGATTCTGGCTCAATTATAGCCTATGGGGACCATTATAGTCAA